TGGCACTGCGCTCACTAAGTCCACACGCCTCATTTGAAAATATGTTTTGTTTTAGAAAAAATCCTGCCTAAATATCACCTGCCGTCCGCTTTCTAGTAACCTTAGTAACGCCTCCTCGGAGCATCCTTGCTGAGCTGCTCAGTCTCTGATCTGCTTTCTTCCTTCTCCCCTACCCGCCCCCTCCAACCCCCGCGCCCAATAAAACCGTTCTCATAATTAGAACAAAAATAGCTGTCCATCGTTTTACCACCCACACAATAGATACCATTCCAAATGCAGTGCTGGTGGCAGGGGAGCTCATAAAAATGTGAGGAAAGGATGAATAGGGAATAGGGGAGATTTTACAGGATTGCAGCTTCTCTGCAGACAAGGACCTCAGATAAGCGATCTGGCACATGTGAAAAGAGGGTAGAGAGAGAGAATATGAAGGAAAGGGGGGAGGGAGGGAGGAAGGAAAAGAAATTATTTTAGGCTCCACCAGGTCCTCGCTGTGTTTTACCTCTTCTACTTTATGATTCTTCATTCTGCTTTGTAGCCTAGTCACTGGATTAATGTCTTGTCTCCCTCTGGCTGGTACTATTCATCTTTGCTTCCTCCTCAGGACCCAACACGGGTCCTTGGAAAACACAAACAATAATTAAATATTCGTTGAATTGAACTGGCACACCATTGAGTTTAGAGAAAACCTTGGCACTTAATACACACTCATTATTTTATATCTTTTACACTACACAATGGATAATATGTTTATTGGTTCAAGGCCCCTTTTATCAGTAAATTAAGAAATGTCCTGCCCTGCCGACGCATTGACTATGATCTTAAAAATTTGTTAAGTTAAATTACTGTGAATTCAGTTACTTCAAAATGTAATCTGATTATACATCAATTAAAATGTTTATGCAAAAACTTTAAAGCAATAGAAAGTTTTGCAATTTACCATTATACCATATTGAATTATTTTGTCAAGCAGTTCCATTTTTAGTAAATATCTAAAAATATATATTTTGTTCTTTTACTTATTATCAATAAAATCAAACACATCTGTACCTTGTACTCAATTTACTTTCCACCAATATTTGACATTAAATAGCATTTTCCTCCAGTTCTTAGGATATTTTTGTCTTGCTTCATTTTATCTTACAACAAGCCTGTGCTGTTTTGTTATTAGTCCTGTTTTGCATATGAGAAATAGAAGCACAGAACTTAAAGCCACAGACCCGGAGAGGGTCTCTAGGGCAAGACCCAGTTTGCTCTCTGTCTCTCTCTGTGTCAATTTCAGGCTCTTTTTCTCTCTTTCTTTTTAACTCCTCAATTGTGTGGGAATCAGCTCCTGATTATACATTTAAAAAATTTCAGATCTGTTGCTACCAGACCATTGAGCCACAGATCTGCTTTTTCCCCTTTGAGGCAGCAGTTATTGAAAGAGAAAAAATAGAAAATATATGTTAGGAATTGGTCACATGATCTACACTAAAAACAATACAGGATAAAAACCTACTTGATCAGGAAATTTCAAGTTCTCAAGTTAGTAATTACAGCTCAACAACTATAAAAAAACAAACACACACCGATATTTATTAAGTGCCTGCTCTGGGCAGAGCAGTGTCCTTAGTCATCAGAGTTACAAATATGTAAAAGCCACTCCTTACTCTTAAAAGTTGGCTAGTAAGAAAGAAAGAATATATAGAATAATAACAACAATATATTCTATCACATGCCAAGTGCTTAGTAAATGGCATGAACCTATGGTTCCCAATCTTTAAAATGCATTCTTTCAATTAATATGAAAATTTAAATGTGCACCAAAGCTGTGTAACTCAAATAAAATAACAAAATATTCTGATAGATATATGATGGAGGTGAGGGAAGTTGGTCCCCACGCTCCATCACACATCTTTATTGCCCCCCCCCCTCAAAATAAAGCTGCTCTAAACAGTATAATAAAGAGACACACTTCAAAGTCAGCCACACCTACATTCAAATCAGGTTTCTGATACTTACTAGCTAGGAAACCTTGAGCAAGTTATTTTATTCTCTGAGTATTAATTTCCTTATCTATAAAATGGAGATAATGGTAGTAGTAGTGCCTATCTAACTGGGGGGTTGATAAGGTTTAACATGAAATGAGGCAGCTAATTAACATGATGCCTAGTTCATAATAAACATATAATAAATGCTATTTGAGGGAAGAATCAGATTACAGGCATTCTTTCTTGAGAATAAGTTTAACAGTTAACTGTTTCTTGGAAATGGTCCAAAAATGGATCCATACATATATAATCCCATGATTAATGGTATAGGGTTAAGTATGAATTTTTCAATAATTAGTTCCGGATCAACAGAAAAATATGGTAAAAAAATAATCTTGATTCCTATCTCACACCATACACAAAAGTTAATTTCAAAGAAAACATCTTCATGATATTTCATGATAGCTTCTTTAGAGTGGGAAAACTTTTCTTAGATATGAAACACAAACAGCTAGCACAAAGGACTCATTTAAAAGACTATTAAGAAAAAGAAGCATTAAGTTCACAAGATGGGAGAAAATATTGCAATATGCATATTCAACACATTATCAGAATATAAAAAGTTCTTTAAAAAAAAAGAACTTTATTGCCCAGCCAGTGTGGATGAGGGTCGACCTATGAACCAGACCATCATCATTTGATTCCGGTCAGGGCACATGCCTGAGTTGTGGGCTCCATATCTGGTGGGGGGTGGAGGGGTTGGATGCAGGAGGCAGCCAATCAATGATTCTCTCTCATCATTGATGTTTCTGTCTCTCTCTTATTCTCCCTTCCTCTATTAAATCAATAAAAGTATTTTTTTAAATTATTAAGTAAACAGTATAAACCCCTGCCCCCCAAATTAGCAAAAGACTTAAACAGACAATTCACAAAAAAGATATTCAGCCCTAGCCGATTTGGCCAGCGGACTGAAGGGTCCCAGTTTCGATTCTGGTCAAGGGGCACATCAGATGTTGGGGTGTGCAGGAGGCAGCTGATCGGTGATTCTCTCTCATCATTTATGTTTCTATCTCTCTCTTCCTCTCCCTTCCTCTCTAAAATCAATAAAGAAATATATTTTTAAAAAAGATATTCAAGTGGCCAATGCACATAAAGTGAAGTGCTCATTGCTACGAGTTATCAGAGAAATGCAAATTAAGAACACAATGCACTTTTTTACACACCCACCAGAATACCTAAATGGAAAAGACAGATCTAGTGCTGATGAAGATGTGTCATGACTATAACTCTTATATGCTGCTGGTGGGAGTGTAAATGGGTAGCCACCTTAGAAAAGGTGTTCAATAGTACCTACTGATGCTGAATGTATGTATCCTATATCTCATATATATTCCATTCCCCAGCGTATTTTCAACAGAAAAGTGTACCTATGTTCACCAAAAGACCTATACTAGAAAGGACTAGTGATAATGACGGCAACGTTTATAACTCAAATCTGGAAGCAATCCATATGTCCATCAGCATTAGAATCATTAAACAAATAGCCATTTATTCACACAATGGCATGCTATACAGCAATAAAAATGAACAAAGTACAACTGTATGGAACAGCATGGATAAATCTCATCAATATAATACTGAGCCAAAGACGCATTTGTATATTCAAAAGACTACATATAACATGATCCCATTCATATAAAGGACAAAAGCAAAAGTTATCTGTTACCAGCCAGTATAGTAGTTTTCTTGGTGTGTGTAGGGGAGGAGACTGGAAGTGGGCACAAGGCAGTGGTGGCAGTGCAGGGTGGGGGGGGGGCGTGGTAAAGAGAGGGGAGGGTGCTTCTAGCGACATGGTTCTATTTCTTGATCCTGGCATTCATTACGTGAGTGGTCCATGATTTGTGCATTTTTATATATGTATGTACTATTTCAATAAAAAGTTTACATTTTAAAATGTAACTGTTCCTTTTGGTTTTTAAAACTTTGAGTCCAATTGGCAAATGGAAGGAACAGAATAGATTAGGGAGGCATAGGTGGGATTTCCTGAGGCTTCAGAAATGATGCCATTTAAATACTTGCACAAAGACAAATTTCCTGTAGGCGCTGAGATGGAAGCAGACAGGTGGCTCTATAAGTGTTTAAAAGGATGCTAGTCAGCACCCAAAGGACTGCAAGCGCCCAGGCCTTGAGCACTTGGCAAGGTCAGCCTGCACTTCCTGCACATTTATAAGCCAGAATCTGGCAGAAGGCAGTTCCACGACCTCCGTAATAAAGCTCAGTCCATGAAGAGACACGGTCTAATAGCTATCTTTTGCAAGCTGGTCAAAGGTCAGTCCCTTGCTTGTGTAAGTGCCAGGTGGAGGCTGCCAGAGCGTGAATGAATACCGTGAAGCAACGTGGAAAGACAGCAATATACCAATTAGCCAAATGAATTAATTGTCATTGGTAGGCTTGTTCCCAGGAGGCAAAAGCAGAGACAGGATGTCTAAAGAGCCCCTCTCTGAGGCAGTCATGGATAAAGAGCCTTGTGATTAAGAGATAGGGAGATACTAAGCAGGTCAGATGAGATGAGAAAAAGAGACTGGGAACACTAAATGTCACCGGAAAATGGATGCACTTATTTTTTTGTCATCTAATATCCTTGGGTATAAAGTTTTCCCACCTCTCTCAAAAAT